TCTTTTTCCGCTTTTGTCACCCCCTCCCCCTTTTAACGTACCCGTAACGCAGCCCTACGCCCCTCCTTTTGAATTACGTAACATTGTCCTGACTCCCCCCTGACACTACTAAATTTTACGCCACGTTTGCTAAAATTTTCTTTTGTGTGATGCTATTTTAAGGATCTTCTTGAACCTCCCTTGGACAAAATGTAAACCATAAATGTAGATGGCCGAAGTGCGAAGCCATGTGCCTACGTTTGCAACATCGCAGACTTCATGTCATACTTTAGGTATTTTTTCTTTGAAAAACCAGTCAACGTAGTGTCTTGAAAACTTTCTTGATTTTCCTCTCTGTCAGCAGAAAATTCTGTACTTTCAATACATAAAGATGCCTCATTTCTCTTCGGAAAAGTAAAATAAGAGCGGTAATTCTGCAGGGGCGAATCCAGCAATTTGGCAACACAGGATTTCCTCAATTTAAACCTAGGTATGTTAAATAATCGATTCTTGTCCGAGTACCTGACCCCTTAAAGAATCTATCCATTTCCATAGGTTTAAATGGATAAAAGACGATGTTGCCAATTTGCTGGATCCACCAATGTAATTCTGAAACACCGCAATTTTGATACGTGGCTGACCATCGATATGTATGAGAGACCCCCTACGGATAGGTGCTGCTGAGGGTGATTCGTTAAGCTTTCTGACGTGGTCGATCTGCCGAGATTTTGGACCTAATTGATCCGATAAATCGCAAGCCAATTCCATCACGTCAGAGGTACTTTGCCAAAGTACGGTTACATCTCACGAAATTTTGCATCTCTGTGCACCACCGTCCCATTCATCCGTGTCTCGTGACCCAGGACTGTGCACAATACCTACTGCGCTGCAGTTGGAGTCGCAGACCTTGACCTCCGTCTACAGGGTGCCGCGGCGCGGTGGGCGGTGTGGCGCAGGGGCAGCGTCCTGGAAATTGCCAATCCATATTTCACATTTCCCCCGAAACCCCACGTGGGAATCCGAGTAACGGATCCGAGAACGTCGCCACGGCATGGATCCAACCAGACGACAACGATTCAGCCGCGTGACGTCAGACTCCATGCCGAGTAAGGAATGAGTTTGCATGCCGCTCCGTCGCGCAAATTCGCGACCGAGTCCCCGTCACGATTCTCACTCCGTTTCAATGTCGAGTGGCGAGCACTGCCGTGCTGAGGAAAAACCCCGTTTGAGCCATCGAGCGTTGCCAGATTTCCCACAAATTGCAATTTTTTCATCATGAAATTGCAGTATTCTTACATGATTCAGTCCGCAGACACCGCTTTTAAATTATCCATAAAATTTCAAATTTTTGATCGATTTTTAAAAACAGCAAAAGCTGTTTCTTAAAATTTTTAAAAACTCACACTTTTACTCGGACTTCTATTATTCGGACGCATTTCGGCGTGTGTATGTTTATTTTGTGGCGTGTGCCATAAAATGTCTGCTAAAATGTATTCCGTGTGTGACAAAGGTAGGCAATTTACAACGCAAAAAAAATGCAACTTCACTAAAAAAAAGTTCCAGCCCTGAAAGCCGTGATTGCGGTGTTCATAAACACACCACCCGTTCCGGGTGTGGGAGCCGGAGCTACAGCTACGACTACTGAAACCAGAGCAGTCATAGCTACGGCTCCCCCTGGTAAAAATTGGCAGTAGAATCTATGTTCCAAAATACCATAGACTTACAGCCGGCTGTAAGATTTCCAATAGCTTCTACAGCCGGCTACACAATTTCTTATAGCTTTTTATAGCCGATGGCAACTAAGCAACAGCCAGGCGATAAAGTGGATGCTAAACGTTACTAATTACGGATGCTAGGACTTAGTGAGTTTTTGGAATACTGCTCTCTTTTTGGGCCGTAGTATCTTGATTTATTTTGCGAGGAAAGCTCCGTACTTTTGATGGATGCCTGTCATTACTAATATATTAGAGCGCCTTCAGTTTCGTATGATACTGTGCAATACCTCTGGTGTGTAAAAGTTGCTTCAAACGCCGTGGCAGGCGGGCAGCCAGCGCGAAACACGCATTGGCGCCTACAAACCTAACAGGGATACTTCACGCGTTGCGCAATGCGTGAAGTATCCCTGTTAGGTTTGTAGGCGCCAGTGCGTTGCCGCTTCGCTTTGTGTTAGGCTCTAATATTTAATCGGGCGGAGTCAGCGGTATTCAACTCATGATTTTGAAATGTTTGCACATCCTGTATGGATTATTCTCATTTTAATTGATGAAAAAAAATATGTATTAAAGGAAAATATAATGTGCGTTTTGTAAATATTAAGGTGGTTCCGTATCAAACTTTATGATTTCCAAAGCACACGAATTTCTACACAATTTCTTATAGCCTTTCATAATCGATGGCGAAAAAGCAACAGCCAGGCGATAAAGTGTAAAGCCCGGCGATAGGAGCTATAGCCCGGCTGCATACTTTTTTATCGCTTCGTATAGCCCGCCCATATGATTTTCTCCGCATTCTACAGCCAGCTATATGATTTTCTTTAGCCTTCTTTAGCCGGCTATAAGAATTCCTATGGTATTTTGAAACGCAGCTCTTATCGCCAATTTTTATCAGGGCCTCCACCCAGAACTTTCGGTTTCTGAGCCCGAAACGGACGGTGTATCTTAACACCCTGTAATTACGGCTTCCAGGGCCGGAACTTTTTTTCAGTGTCATTTAAATTTTTTGGCAATTAAATTAAATTAGAGGGGTTCTTTCAATCAGTAAGTAGGCAACATACACAACACTCCGATTCAAAAGCATTTAATAGGTACTTGGCCTGTGGAAAATAGTGAGCATATTTACTCTATAATTTGACATGATCTGGTTATAATTTCGAATCAAACTCTCTGAAAAATCGAATGAAAAAGAGTACAATTTTTTCGAAGTTTTCGTATTTTAATACATACAAGAATTTTGGCAACGCTTGGATGTTCATGAGGTGTTTCCCCTCAAAAGGTATGGTAGAGCTGTGGTTACGTTGTAAAAAATCCACGTGGCGCGATAATCGTCGCGTGGTTTCCCCAGCGAATCCCCAAATCAAAGCCACTGCTATTATCAGCATTTTATCGAGCGTGATAAGCAGTGAATGATAGTTTAATCCCACCTCTTATTACTCTCGAAAGAATATCACAAGTGTGTGTCTCAATTTTTGTCGCTGTGCTCTAAGAGAGAGAAGCTTAATACTCAAGCACCTACCTACCAAGCAGTATTTTGATTACAATAAGTGGCACAGGATGCCACGGTTGTGAAAAGTCTAGGAGAGAAAGACGGGCCACAGAAAATCGGAAGAATTCGAAGAGGAAGACGAGTCAGGGAAAATTGGGAAGTCGGAAAAAGAGCAAAATGAAGGGAAGTGATCGATGAACGAATGACCCCTCCTGGTTTTGCGTGCAGCCGAATTAATTGGATTCGAAATTGATTATTAATAGCGGATGATCGGCCAAAGCGCCTTCAAATGGCAGGGTAGGCAAAAATTAAGTCAATGTACGAGTAAGTGCTGGGACGGTTTTCCCCCCCTCTCATTTCGTCCCTCTATCAATTCATCCTCTACCAGGGAATAAATAGTTTTTGATAAAATCTTTAAGTAAACGTGCGACTGCCTAGAGCAACTTTTACGAACCCCCTTGGGCCCCAGCTCTATTCTCATTTCGCATCAAGTTAAAAACAACCTCAGGTTGAGAACATTTACCACTTCAATTTTCAGCGGAGGAGAAGTTTTTAACCAAGACCAGAGGCAAAAATGAGACTCTACGTTACAAACCAGCAGTTTCCCTTTTGTTTATTTTCATTCTTCCATCTTTTAGTCCTTCTGAAATCTGTTAGTATCATCAAGTTTTTGTATTCAAAGGCTGCACAGGGCGAAAAGCTTGCTAAGATTTTAGCAATTGCTGTGAAATTTACCTATCTAATTCAATTAGAATCATTGCTCTGTGAATATCTTGCACGGTTATGGCTATTCCTTAATTCAGATTCTAGCCGAATCTTTGGCTCATTTCAATCAGGACCGAGTTCAATAGAAACGAAAGAAAGCACATTAACGTAAGTTGCACCAAGTTTCATTTTGGGAAAAAAACGAGTTGACAGCAAGTTTGAATTCTCTCGGTCGATGATTTTCATCTGTCCAAAATTCTGAGTTCCAAAAAAATATTTTAAAGCTGACAATAGTCTTGAAACGGTTCTTAATGTTGAGTTTTATGGAGAAATAAAACTTCCAACCTTTTTTCCTCAGTTCAAACTTGATGCCACTTACTAAGTTTCTGTTAAACTAGGTCCATTTGATATCGTAGGTCGTACCTATTTGAAATCACTATGTGACAAAACGAGCATTCATTTTTTGAAAACAATCATTAACAAAAAAGAGCAAGGTAGATAGCTTCAACTTTTAATAAAAATGGGAAGAAAAGGTTAAAATTAAAGTATTTAGTCAGAATTTGTTCCCTTTTTTTGGTGATAAAAGAAGTCAATGGATTCAAGAGCTATCTTGTTACAGATTGTTTCACAAGCAATCAAAAGTAATAATTCATTAATCATGACTTGATGAATTGCCTCTGCAGAAAATCAAACTTTTTAACCCATCAGTACCTTTGTGGGAATAATATTATTTAAAGACAAATATATTCCAATGATCAAAAAGGACTTGTAAAGACATTTTTTTTACAAAAATGAGCCAAATTGAGATCACAGATGAAGTATAATTAAATGGTCTTCATTTTGCAATTTGGAACTATAACTTCCGACCCATATGTAAAAGCACTTATCTGGATAGAGAAACTAATGATACATACGATGGTTTTAAACTGAGGCTTAATTTATGGTTCCTGATTGCAAAATGTAGTCCAAATATGACTTTGCCTACCCTCACACATTCTGCAATGAGATAAAATAATCCTGTTTTCAATTTGGCTTATTTTTCGGTATGATATTTGTCTTGAACTGGTTGCACTGGGGACAAGAAAATAGTTATAGAGATTGAGAAGTCAATTTTGTTTGATTGATAAAAAAAGAGAAGTTTAATGTAGAGACTCAAATTCCAGATATTACAGAGCTACTATTTTTAAACTTTGACACAATTTGGAGATAAATACAGGGAGAAGTCAATGTGGAGTTACAGGTAGAAAACATAGTAGAATTATGGTGCTAAGATATGATGATGATGATGATGGAAATGATGATTGTATTATATTAAAAACGTGATTACTTATCGACGGAAAATACATGCCAGATCTTATTGTCTTTGTATTGCTAGATTCTATCATTTAATCAACTTGAAGAATGGTCGATATAATGTAGCTTTATTTCATCGGGGAACCCACAGATCTACGGATTTCGATTTACGTCTAGTTTTTTGATAAGACTTACAAGGATTATCAGACTACCGCCACAAATATGAAAGAGAAACAAAACAATACAAACAAAGAGACAAGAGGGAGTATTGACAGTAATGTAACAAAAACATTTGTCTAATATCCTAATGAATATTATGCTAAAGTCTTAGGTATATGAGCGAATGGGTAAAAGAGCTTATATTAACTATAATTATTCAGGTAAATTACACTAACTAAGGGGTTCTGGAGCAAAACTCAGTTCTTGAAGCAATCAGCATTTACTGCACTTAGAGAGCAGGTATGGGGAGAAAAAAAAAACAAAAAAAATCTGACAAAAAAAAAGGATAAATAAAGAAAATAACAACACAAAGAGAGAATAAAAAGTCTAAAACAAACGAAATAATCGTTGAGAATAAAAAGGTTTCTCTGCAGAACAAGTACTACTGCACAAGAAATTCCACTCTACCAACTGCAAAGCAACAATTAATGTTTCGGCACCTTTGGGACAGATTTCATCGATACTGTCCTTAATTTTAGTATTCCATGGTTTTATTCTAGGTTTAATCCATTTTACACATTAAAGCAAAAACTTTAGTACATTCAAAATGGATCACGTCAGTATTTTGGTTGGACATCAATTAATCTGACCATCTCAGGAGAAAATAGGAATAGGTTTGATCCACCTAACTGTCGAATGTATTTCAGGAAAATCTGTGTGTGAAGATCACTCAAAAAATTAGAAATCATTTGTACTCAAATATTTAATGGCTTGCAATTACAATGCCTAAGGCAAGATTGACAAACCCTGGAAACACCTGAGACACTTTCCTACTTGACAAACATGAGAAATAAAAAAAAAACTGGTGATATATGAGCCCTGCCAAGTTAGCGAACAAATTATCCAGGCCGATTCACGTAATAAAACGGCAAATTGGTTTCTTTTCCTTGATTGTGGCTGTATTCTAATTTGAATACATGGTACAGTACTGTAATTTAGATGTGACTAGGGAAGAAATAAGCAAAAATGGGATAGTCAAAGGAGCATTTCCATGAACTAAAGTTACTGAGACGATTGTATGAAGAACTAAAGGCTCCGTCCGGCTACTACTACGGTGAACTATTCAGGGAACCCTGTATTAAAATTAACGATACAAAATTGTGAGCTCGAAGAGAAAATTTGGATGATCCAACAAGGCAGCAACGGCTAATACAAAGTTAATGTTTCGAACACTATACATTTTCTCTAAGTCAGTTACTTAAACTTAAGCAACTCATGCTGCAGAATCAGGAGATACATTGTGTTATAATTGACAGTAAGCACCGTAACTTGGTAAAAAATGTAGCGAGAAGGATTTTAGAGTGCTGTAGGTTACTTGTCTCCAAGATATTCATATTTAGGGGGGGCAAAAGCTTAGAAGGTACTTAGATTGCATTTGCCCGCACTAGAAACCTAATTTCCCGATATTTTTAATCCCCATCATGAGGAGCTTGACACTTACAGTAACAATAAAAAAAACCTTAAGACTATTATCACTATTTTTTCACTATTTTTCCTACAGTGAAAACCGGACATAACGAACTAAGAAAAACAACCCCGCTCATGACTATTTTCAATCCATCCCCGCGGTAAGTAGTCCCTGATAAAACGAAATTATCTCGAGAAGATCCGAAAACTGGGCCCGGTGATCGTTACATCCAGCAGTGGCGAGGCATGGGACCGATTATCGATATTTCCCCATTTGAAGCTATGGTAAAGAATCGATTATTAAGGTAAACCCTGTCTATCGACCCTTTTCCATAGTTTCAAATGGCAGATCAATCGATAAATCGTCGCTCTTCTGACGTAAGGGCGTAACTAAATTTCCACATGAGCCCTGTTTTACATGTAAATCCATGCTTTCCAAAGCCCATGTGGAAATTGAGATACGTCCTTACGCCAGAAGTTCGACGATACCAGTAAATCACACCACGCCACCGACATCCAGTCACTAGGACTGAAACGAAGGCTACCTATCGATACAATCGTTGTGGTGGAGGGGTCGTATTTGAGGAATCATCATCAAATCTTGTTGCTGTACCAGAAGACACCTTTGGTGTGGTCCTTCTCATCCCGCTCGACGAAAACGCACTCTCTGGTCTCCCTGTACATGGCTTTGTAGATGGGTGTTCCGTCGAACTGATAGTACTCTCCCAGGAGGGGTTTGATGGCCTGCGTTGCTTCCATGGCGTGGTAGTGCGGCATCGTGGAGAAGAGGTGGTGGGCTACGTGCGTGTCCGTGATATGGTGGAACACGTGGTTGAGGATCCCGTAGTCCCTGTCGACCGTGGCGAGGGCGCCTCTGAACCAGTCCCACTCGGACGAGTCGTAGTGGGGCAGCGAGGGGTGCGTGTGCTGCAGGAACGTGATGGAGACGAGGAACCCGTTGACAATCAGAAGTGGGATCCCGTAGATGCACATCACATGGGCCAGCCCGTAGGCCATGACCGCCCGGTAGATGATGTAGGAAACGGCCACGATACCCAAGTCTGACATGATGATTTGGTTCCGCTTGCGCTCGGAGTAGATCGGGCTTTGCGGATCGAAGTGGTTGGCGAATCGGTCGTAAGGCCTGAAACGAACAAAAAATCAGCATCATTAGTGAGAGTTCCATACACAACACACAGGGTGGCAAAATTTCATGAAAAATAAAATCTTGAAATTTCACGTGAAATCTTTCATGAAAATCCAGAAAATGAAAGATATTGAAAAATGCCGGTTCCTTTCCATATCTTTCATGAAAATCCAGAAATTTATGAAAGATATTGAAAAATGCCGGTTCCTTTCCATGTTTAGTAAAAAGTAGAAATTGTAAATTTCTTCAATATTTGTGTGTTTGAGTGCGGGTTGCATACTCTAGCCCCTGAAAAATATGAAATATTTCACAGCCTCGTGAAATTCCATGAAGTATTTCACTGAGATTTCCAATCTTTCATTTCTTTCTTACGTTTCATGCCACCCTGACAACACATATTGCCGTCTACCGGACGAAGAGACCTAACTAAATTCCGAAGTAGTCAATTAGTTAGAAAAATTAATTTATTTTACAAAAATGTAACTCTGCAATTTTTATACGATATTTGTCTGATTTTTGCATGTAATCTTAAGAAAAATCAGTGAAGTTATCAGTTAGAAATACTCAATATTCTCCTGGATACTATACAGCTTGCGAGAGGAATCTAGGCAACATTGAAGTAGACTTTCATTCAAACGAGATACGTACAAGGTTGCCATAATTTCTTCAGATTCCCTGACTATTTTTGCTTTTCAGACACTAAAATTTTTTAATTCTCTGCACTGAAAAAACGAAGTTACGGGCTATATACACAAACCGTTTCGGGCTTAGAGGCCGAAATTTCCCGGTGCTGGAGCCGTAGCTTTAAGTGCTCCGGCTACTGGGCCCGGAACTTTCAGCCTCTAAGCTCGGAACGGTATGTCTATATAGCTCGTGAAGACGGTTTTCACGGCCAGAATTATTTTCGGTGTGACTTTTTATTACCTTCCGACAAAATTCCCACTTTTTTCACAACGCAGACTTTTGCTAAATTTTAGACACAATTTCCTTGTTTAGAGATCAAATTATGGAAAAAGGCATTCCGTTGCTCGTTCAAGGATATCCACAGACGGTTGGAACAGTTGGAAGATATGTGATATGCTGCCGTGCTATGGAAGAACGCCGTATGAACATTCGAGAGTTGCCAAATTTCCCCGGATAATACATGTATTGTTGACGAAATTTAAGTATATTTTTCCGTAAAATTTTCAGATATTATAGATTGAATTGTGTACAAGATTGTCTGATATTTTCGGAAAAACACATTCACAATTTTCTCAGTAATTTCGGTTTTTATCGGAGGAAACTTGGCAACGCCTGAAGGCTCATACGGCGTTTTTACTTAGCACGGCAGTAAGTTTCGGTGATTAGCATAGATGTATCAGCAATTTCCAGGCTTCCCACGAATTCCCTGATTTTCCCAATTTTCTAGACCGCCGGCAACCCTGTGGCCCGGCAGTTCCGCCGTCGAGTTATGTTCTTCCGCCTGGTACCCAAGGTAGATTTACACAGGTATGGACAAGTTGAAAATTTCCCATGAGCCTCAGTACGTGTCACATGACTACGTGACGTAGGTTAAGGGGCCCGTTTTTTAATTAAATTACAATCAAATCAACATTCAAACGTTTGTGCGTTTAAACGTTAAAATTAATATCGCATTATCAAAATTGTGCAAAAAATCCCACAAAATTTTGACAAACGATAAACCGAACATAATAAATCAAAATAATCAAAACATACAAAATGGCGGAAGTTAAGGGGCCTCTGGAGAGTCAATCAGAGGCCACTTGTTTAGTTTTGTCCATACCTGTGTAAATGTACCTTGCCTGGTACCCGACATCGAGATGACAAATCCCCAAACAACGACTTACCTTCCGGAAACATTGAAGGCGAGGTAGAGCGGCCATCCGAGCGTGAGTGTGACGACGAGGCAGATGATCCTGCCGGGGGGGTTGTTGAGGTACTTGGCGTACCAGCTGATGCCGTCCTTCTTCTTGGGCACGAAGACCTCGTCACGCTCCAGGGAGGCCGTGTTGGAGTGGTGCCGGGCGTGCGAGTACTTCCACGAGAAGTACGGCACGAGGAGCGCCGAGTGGAGGACGAAGCCGACGGTGTCGTCGAGCCACTGGTAGTCGCTGAAGGCGTGGTGCCCGCACTCGTGGGCCAGGACCCAGACGCCGGTCATGACGCAGCCCTGGACGATCCAGTAGGCGGGCCAGGCGACGTAGCGGAGCGGGGCCGGGAGGGTGGGGATGATGGTCGAGGCCACGAAGTAGAGCCCGAAGATGATGGCCAGGTCGTAGAGGACGTAGGAGAAGGAGCGGACTATCGAGCGGTTGAAGCAGTGCGGGGGGATGGCCTTCTTGATCTCGCTCAGGGAGAACGGGGGCTTCGTGTGCGGGACCCTCTTCAGAGGGTCCGGGCCCACCTTCTGTGGGGTTGCGTTCGTCCGACCACCAGTACCCATTGTTTCAGTCTTCTGCAACAGGGAAAATCAAGGGGAAGGTTAGTGATGAGCTCTAAAAAGGGAAACAATCAGTTTGGTGTAAAATATGGTGTAGGGGATAAAAGAAAATCGCGGAAAATCAGGAGAGCGATCAACCTGTAGAGAGGTGTCGATTATACGCGATAAAAGGTATCGCGGATAACAGAAGATCGCGAATCGCGAAAACAATCAATTCACAGAGGTGTCGATCAAAGAGATGATTGGTATCGCGGATAACAGAGAATGGCGATTCGTGAAAAAATCAGGGGAACAATCAATGTGTAGAGAGGTGTCGATTATCCGCGTTAAAAGGTATCGCGGATAACAGAAGATCGCGAATCGCGAAAACAATCAATTTATAAAGAGGTGTCAATTACAGGAGATAATTGGTATCGCGGATAACAGATAACATGAAAATCACGATGAGCTCATCTGGAAAGTCTAAACATACATTCCTAACTTTACATAATCTGCGTAAGGACTGTGCGTTTTTTAAAGTTTACCGACCGCTTCAAAAACAATACTACGGTCTACGGTACAGGTGAACATTTCGCAAGAGGATCGTTCCATTCAACCCTTGCGCACTAGGATGCGACACAATATTCAACGAGGCAAACGCTTTCACTCGCAAATCGCAAGGAAGCACCAACCACGATCCTTATCAGCGCAAGGAAAATGTAAATAAACAAAAAATTAACAATAAAATTCTCTTACGAAATGTTCATCAATGCGGTAGCATCATTTTTGAAGCGGAAAGCTTTAAAAAAACGCTTACACACACGGATAAATATCAACACAAAAGTTTGGTCAATACGGGAAGTAAAACACAAAATAACCCCAGCCTTCGGTTGACAATCTGCAAGAGAAATGTCAGCTAATTGTCTTGAAGAAATTTAATAAAAAACGAGTGGTAAATATCAACGTCGCGATCGGAGGAGTGCATTTCCCTAGTCTCTCCATTGTTTTCTGCGCTAAATTCACCGCAAACCATACCAAAATCAACACAAAATTTGTGTTCGATTGTGTTTCATTTAATTCCTGTATTAATCAAATTAAAGTAACACAAGAACACAAATATTTTTATCAGTGTATTTCTTACACAGATTTTGAAGTTAGAAGTACATTTCAGACTTTCCCGACGCGCTCATCGTGAATTTTGAGCCATTTAATACAGGATTGCCAGAAATTGAATTTCCCTGATTTCTCTGACACATTTTGGTAAAATCCTCGACAGTTGAAGATCTACCTGGTTAAAAAGACTTATTTCAGGCAAAAATGTGTTGTTCGAAACGGTAAACCCCTTCTAGAGGGCAAATAAGGGTGGCTTAACTGTTCTTCTCGGACACTTTTGTCACATTTCCCGACATTTCCAAGTTACCGCTGACTTTTTGAAATTCACTGACATTTCCCAGCTTTCCCATCAGGATACCCTGACTGTGGCAACCCTGTTTCAATACGAAACAACTCCTTTTTTTTGCTGTTGCTGAAGTTTACAACAAGTTACTTCCGGCGGAACAGAACACTCACCTCCGAGTACAATGAAAAACCCACGAAAAACCAACGCGCCAGAAGAACCCCGTAACGCCAATAACCACCAGAAGAGTCGATCAGACAACAACTCTCATGCGCTCAGGAACTATTATTACTCGCGTAATGACACACCAGATGAAATAATAACCGATCCGGATGAAATAACACTAATCCCAGACGCGGGTCGGTGCTTAAGGGAGCGTGGCTGATAGGTAATAAAAGCTAAACGCCGTTCGATACGCCTCCGCCGACTCCGCTTATTCGGGTGAAATCAACCCGCCCGCGCTGTCCGTGACACTGTCACGCCGACGGAGAAAACTCCTCGGTAAATAACCAAGATTTTCCTAATTAGCGATTATCTTGATTGTTACATCGACTGACAATGAGAACTACATTTGCAAGTGTAAGTAGCGTCGTGTTTCCTTCGGGATAGCGGGGGCGGCGGCGTCGGTGGCGGGGAAAAGCTCCGAGTCGCACAAACGATACGCGGAAGGAAGGAGGCCTACGAAAATAGAAAAGGAAAGGGAGAGAGTTCGTGATTTTTCGCTGTTTCGCTCGTGCTCGCGAATTATCCGCGGGAAGTGTCACGTGCCGCGAGCCTGGCTCATATTTGCAAGTTCAGGGCATGGTGATTAGAATCCGTGGTTCTTCACGTTCCAACTTCCAACAAACACACCAATAGAATGACAGGATGAGTTTCGTTTTTTGTGTGTTTATTTTGGTGTCTTTCTTTTCTTATTTTTTTTTTATTTTTTTTTTTGTTTCTTTTTTGTTTTGTTTTCTTATTTATGTTATATTGGTTTTTTGGGTTGTTTTTTTTTCTTTTTAAAAAGGTCAAGGTGACGCAATTCCTTGGGCTACGTAAACCCCAGAACTTTTCCCGACTTGCCAGGGATTTTGAACATAGAATTCCGCGACTTTTCAATGTTCTTCAGGAGCATAACTTCCCGTAAAAATTCTTTTAGCAAAACACAAATGCAACATTTTTGCTGGGAGAGAATTCCAAGGTCCCGCAACATGTTCTGGTGTTCCAGAGTTGAGCAAAATACTCTGAATTTTTTGGATCTCCCCGGATTTTCAAAAGTTGGTCATCTTACACGTAAAAAATACAATTTGCAATGGAAATTTCGTAACGTTTTCCCGTTCCCGTATAAAGTCCGTAACGTTTTTCCGTTCCTGGATAAATTCCGGTGTATCCTAGTTTTCCCACGTCATAAATACCATGGTTTGGGTCTCAATATCCCTATACATTATCAAGAAAAATCATCAACGACTTATGCCAAAATTCCCTGACGTTTACCGTGCTTTCTTCCATAAGAAAGGCACTGTAAGCGGTGAAGACAATTTCCCGCCGAGTCGCTTGGCGTCATCTGCAAAATGGTCTCATTTTCGCACATCAAAATGACTGACCTTAGTAGTTAGTTCATGGTCGTTTCCCGCCAAAAATTATAAGCTCCACGACATTTGGGCGCATTAATCAGGGCTCAACTACCTTCACCCAGAGCGTCGATGAGCATCCTACCTTCTACATTGTAGCGCTTTACTACCGCGCTAAGAAAAAACCCCCTATAAACATTCCGATGTTGCCGAATTCCTCGCCATAAAGCAGTTACTTATTTACCCAGTAAACACACTGAAATTTCACAAGTTTTTTAAAAAAATGCGTACTTATTACGAAAGATTTGGCAAAATCCAAGTGCCCATAGCGCGTTTTTCTTCAGCACGTGTGTTTAGCGCTGTTACGCGCTTGTTTGAGATTCTTAGTAAACAGAAACAATCGATAATTAGTGCGTGCTCTATTCTGCCCCACGTAGACTTTTCCGCTTATTTCCATAGGAAGACGAGCTGTACGCGATTCAGAAGCGATGCGGTTGCGTCACGGCGTGGTTGTTTAGGAGAAGTGTGAGCTCGATTTGTGGAAAGTAAACAGAATTTAACTCGAGCGAAGCAATCGAATATTATGCGATGTTTACTCCGAATCTTGCGTAGTTCCGAACAATTCGCCGTTTCTAAGACGAAAAACATAACTGCAATTCAACGTTGTAAAATTGCTCCTCGAAAATTTTATTAAAACCAGAAAACTGTTAGAGGTTCTTCATTAAAATTGAGTCAAGTTTGGACTGAACTTCTACAGTCATTGCTCTTGTAAAGGGCTGAATCTTTCGCGCAAAGGAGTGGTATCAATTCGTCGCCTACCTGACATAAGGGCGTAATTACACTCTGCAATGAACCCTGTCCTCCATATAATTCAATGCTTTTCCGGGCTCACCTCAATGTGTAGTTACGCCTTTATGTCAGCCAAGCGACGAATTAAGGCCCGTTTATTGGTTAGTTACTTTTAGGTACGTTTTTAATACCTTTTCTTATTGATGATTAAAATGTAGAACCTATTCTTTGGAAAAGATGAGGTACTTATCGAGTGTTCCTCAAGCACGATTCACGAGGTTTATTGCAAAACGACGTACACGCGTGCTGATTCTGGCTATATCGATTGCATGCAGTAAGACATCGCACATTAACGATGTTTGAACAACTGTTCAACCTGAGGCAGCGGCACAGCACAAACCGTTGAGTAAAATTTGGACCGTATTAAGAAGAAAAGAACCAAACCACATCAACTTTTGCGAAAATATAATCGAGCAATGTCATTTTCTAACATGCAAGCGATTTTGCGGATTTTTGTGCAAATTACAAGAAATTGTCTGCATGGTACGAAGCAAATTCCTTAAAAGTTTCAAAGAAAATCGCACAAATGTTCTCTTGTAAAATATTAAATTGCCCAGTTAAATTTGGCAACAGCTGTTCTTTTCTGTTCTACGCGGTCCATTTAAAGTGATGCGCTCTGATGCGTCGCTGAGCCAATAAGGACTTAGAATTCATCAGAACCTATCCAACGTTGAAAACAGCAATATGGGGATACCTTTAAATTATTGAGCTCCTTCGATACAACTTTTCTTTTAATGGACGAAAAAAATCCGGATCTTTAGTATTCATTTCCGCAATTTTTGCACCTGTCAAAACCCTGCCACCTCCTCCCCATCGATACATTACGCAATGCCAGAGCGCTATCTGCTCGCAAAAATAGACACTGCCTTCCTCTATTCATAGCCCATGTGACATAACCTCCCGGCCAAAAGTGGCAACGCTCGAAAATTCTTCGCTGCCCTGACGATAAAAGACGCAACTCCTTGTTCATGATATATGCGAAAACCGCGGGGTTATACATAGGTTGTCCCAAAAGTACTGCACGTTTTTTTCCTATTGACGAACAGCAGTAGGTATCAAAATGCGGTTTGTGTAGTCTTAAAGACCGGCCAATTACTGGTAAAACAAGACAAATCCGAGCTCTCTAAGTCAAAAAATGACCAAGTTACAGCGTTTTGAAAATGACTTGTAGAGGGGACCCCTACGGGATTTTCAGCTTCTTTTTTGGAAAAAAAAACAAAGATTGATTGGTTTTTTTT